GTAGAGAATGCAAGGCGCATATATGAGGCAAAACCTGAAGAAGTTCTGAACATATGATTTTTCCATTTGACTTTTGGGTGTTCAAACTTTTTTCTTGGAACTTTTAAAATAAACTAAGGTACACTAATATAAATTTAAAAGGAATTCATTGAAAGCAATAAATAAAAATACTTGATCTCTTCGAGTACAAATATTATGGGGAAAACAATTATTTTGAATTATCAACATTGAGATTGGTTGAGGATAAGGCCGAGAAGGCTTTCGTGGTTAATTGAGAGTTATCTCCCTTTTTGTCACATACTTAAAATAGAGCTCACATTTTAATGACGTAAACGTCATGATTTAGGCCTAGTGTTTACACCGGCCATTCAACTGTCAAACTGACGCGGGGTTTCTGGACTTTGTTTTGGCAGACATCAACATGGCACATCGCACTGATCTCCGCCCCGTGTTTCGATTTGGGTTTTCAAACGCCGTCAAAACTGACAGATTTCCAGAAAAATTGTACGACGTGGTAGAGGACAACTATGTGATTCGATGGAGTGCTGACGGGACCAGCATTTTTGTTGACGAAAATGGTTTCGCAGAAATAATTATGGAATGTTATCCTGGGTTCTTACAAATACCCGATTTCCCGAACTTCAGGCGACTTTTTCGAGAATATAGTTTCGACTGGGAAAATAAAGACTCCATATTTGAATTTTCACATCCCTGTTTTATTCGAGGCAAACCAGAACTTTTGGGGCAAATCCTCACGAGGAGAAAGTCGTATTACAAAAAGACCCCTGCGGCTGGTAAACGACGGGAATTGCCTGACTACTTCGATGTAGAATTTAATTCCGAAACACCAGGGCGAATGACTAGGCGGGGATTTATTCCGCTTAAATCAACAGAGAAGCAGGAAAATGTCCCAGAGAAAATAATCTTTGATGAAAAGAAGGCTTATAAAATTCACGAACGGCCATCGTTAACCAAACATCCTGAGAAAGAAGAAATAGAAAATGAAAACAGCCAAGACCAATGTGAAGATGAGAAATTTCAAAAGGGGTCTTTTGAAGAAAATCGAAAGGCTATTGAAAACATCATCAATGTGTTTGCAATCAATGAACTCAGCCCGGAAGAATTCCTCGAATACTTGCAAAGAAGAAGATCCACTTTAGAGAGTAATTCAGTGCCAATGGAAGTGGACAATTCAGCAACCCCTCAGTTAACCATGTCTTTGATCAAACCTAAAGATGAAATCCAAACAACTATTCCACCCACGTCTGATTATCAATTAGACAATGTGACCTTCACTCAAATCAGATCAGAATTGATTACGTCACCGACCGAGGAGTTTGTAACGCCTAATAAAAACTATCACACCATGACAAACTTTAACGAACCGTGGAGTTATAACTATCAAGAACAACTACAAAATGCCAGAGAAATGATAGGAGACGGCATGAATTTCAGGGCATCGCTACAATATCCGTGTTGCGAGTGTCGATGTCATTATTATTGATTAAGGGGAAGTAACTCCATTTTCTGATTTGATGAGGCGCATAAAATGAAGGATTTTATGAAGGGATACAATTTTATAATGAAATAAAGTTTCCGTTTCGTTAATACTAATTTATAGATTCCAATATGTGTTGCACCATAAACGATGGAATTATTTTATTTATTTTTCCGTTTAAGGAATCCAATCTTTTGGGGTTTTCTTTCCGTATTTCCCGTTTTCATCCCGTATAGTTTGCCTTTATATTCTCATATATTTTACCTGCTATTCCTCCATTGTATTTTGCCTGTATATCGCCAATTCTTCCGTATATACCCCATCCCTCCCTTGTTTATGCTCCATTTATCCATTGTATATATGCTCCATTGCTCCCTTCCTTGTATGCCCCATTCCTTCCTTGTATATGCCCCATTCTACCCTTATATTTCCCTTGTATGCCCCATTCCTCTCTTATATATGCCCCATTTCTCCATTGTATATGCTCCATTCCCCCCTTGTATGCCCCATTTCTCCTTTGTATATGCTCCATTCCCCCTTGTATTTTGCCTGTATATCGCCAGTTCTTCCGTATATACCCCATTCCTCCTTTGTATATGCCCCATTCCCTCTTGTATATGCTCCATTTCTCCCTTGTATATGCTCCATTCCCCCTTGTATGCTCCATTCCCCCTTGTATGCTCCATTTCTCCCGTGTATATGCTCCATTTCTCCCTTGTATGCTCCATTTCTCCCTTGTATATGCTCCATTCCCAATTGTATGTCCCATTTCTCCTTTGTATATGCTCCATTCTACCCTTTATATGCTCCATTGGCGTTGTATGCTCCATTCCCCCTTGTATATGCTCCATTCCCCCTTGTATGCTTCATTTCTCCCTTGTATATGCTCCATTCCCTGATACTCCATTTCTCCCTTGTATATCACCCTCTATTCTCCCTCATGTATACTTTGCATGTATTTTGTCAATTCTTCCCTTGTATTTTAGTTGTATGTGATATAAGGTTTGTATTAAATTGATTGGGTTATTTAAATCGTGTTTTTGTGTTTGTTTGGCGGGTAAACTGCACGGGGTCTCTTAATGAAACACACCTGTAGAATTCATTTTAAGATAGCCTAATCATGTCTTTAAAGCGTAATGTTTAAAAAGTGTTAATCCAGAACTTGTAGTTGTCAAAGGGTGTCTAGAAACCCAAACTTGATTTTTTTTTACCCGGTGGTAATGAAGCGCAACTTAAGGAATCTCTTCTCTTGTGGATGGTGTATTTAAGACATTTGCGAACTGACCCGGATGTAACTTAACCGGGGGGGGGGGGCTAGGAAATGACCGGTGTGGTCTCGTCAGCTTTCACCTGCTATTGTTCAGTTCATCAATTTGATCAATATCTTCCTGGTCTCTTTAGTTGGTGTTGAGCTGACTGAAGGACAAAGGATAGTCTTTGTTTTGTCATGTTTTCTACGAACCTCAAACTGTTCAGACGTTTTTTTTTACACCGATGCTCCTAAAGCCACTGGTCAGCAAATTGGACAATTCAAAGACCCACACCATGATAATGATCAGGGCCGTATGTAGGATTTTAAAAGTGGGGGTGCAATGTACCCCCTGCACCTCCGCTAAATACCTGATAATGATATGATATTAAAAATAATGTTTCTATGAAGTTAAAGATGCATTATTTAATTCCATTTGTCCGCTAACTCCTCGTCAAATTCAAAATGTCCAGGGTTCCTTGACGTGCACGCTGGTATATACACAGGATGTCGGTTTCGCATACCATATGAATGACAAGACAGTACGTCTTGCCAGTCACTCCATACTGCCCCATTGGCAAGGGGAAACCATGTTGAAAAATCGTGAATAACGGTTAGTGTTAAATGTCAAGGCCAGCTCAATTTTTCGTCAAAGGTCACAAGATGTAAACAGGGCTAGCGCTAGCGCCAATGCTTACCCTAACCCTAACCTACAATCTCGCCAACAATCACGTGCCCTAACCTTATTTGCATCACAGCGACCTTGACAAAAATTGAGTTGACCTTAACTTTTAGATTTAGTCATGAATAACTTTCTCAGCGGGTATATTATCCTGGGCCCTGTTTCACGAAATCTTAACTAAAGATAAAATCCAAATTTTAGTAGATACTTCCATTTTGATTGGCTAAGCACTAAAATCAACCCAATATTATCCAATCAAATGACTAAAATTTGGATTTTATCTTAGTTAAAATTTCGTGAAACAGGCCCCAGGTTAGTAAGACACAGTAACCTAACAACCTGTGGTCACATGTTCACATTGATGTGCTGTTAAATAAAACGGACTAGATAGAATTAGAAAAGGACAGCAACATCGTAGCTGTCAATGAAGTGCTATTGTTTTGATACTCTAGAGACCATGGAAAGAAACTAATATTCAATCCTTGTACGAAGACAAACGTGGCTAAGTGGGTAAGACGCTGGCTCGCTAGCCTGGAGGTCGGGTGTTCGATCCCTGCATTGTCCGAGAAAGTTCATCTAGATTTTCCGGTGTGGTTCCCCCTTGTCAGTGATGCAGGACGGAGGGCCTGACAAGGACAGCTGTCTAGTCCTTCGGATGAAATGAAAAACAGAGGTCCCTTGTATATATTGGAATGCACGTAAAAGATCCCTTGGCAGTTGGGATTCGATATAAGAGTAGGCGATAGTGCCGCTGCCCGGGCAAAATTTCCCTCATAGCACACTCTATGGCGTATGCCCGTCTTCATTATCCCAGCATAGGAGAGGAACAGTAGGACGTTAAACCCCATTTCAATTCATTTCACGATGAAGATTTACTCATCAAACGTTTAAATAAGAGAGGTTGGAAACTTCCACACAAATACTGATACCACAGGGATACAAAATAAAATAAGGTTTAACGTCCTACTGGTCTACTTGACACAGCAAATGGTTCAATTTTATTTCAATAATTCGCTTTCGCATAGCGGTCTTTAGCACTGGGAGAAAGCCGGAGGACCCAGAGAAAACCCCTGAGGTTGGACAGGCGACCCTACTCCTCGTCATGTACAAGCAGGGAATCGTAAACCCGCCTCTTGACTCAATGACTTTATGATCCAATGTGCACGCATTAACCATTCGGCAACTATGTTTAACATCCTGCTTTCTGCAAGGGTGGAGGGGGGGATAGGAAATAAACTAGATTTTAACGTTCTATTTTTCTTTAAGGGGGTGTGGGTGTCGAGGGGGGGGGGGGGACATGTACTAAAATAGGGTTTAACATCCTAGATGGCAATATAAGCTGAGGGGCTCAGGGTATCTATACGTACAGTTATCAAGTCTCACCCTTTTAACCCAGGGGGCAATATAAACACAGTGACTGGACATCAGAGGGTATCTATACAGTTATCAAGTCTTACTTTGTTAAGCCAGGTACTGGACATACAAGGAATTTATCATATATTTATTTGAATGAAGGTTTATATCTAGAAATTAAAATCATCATGAATGCCATTTAATATACAAGATGAAGATTAAAAGATAATTCATTTATTTAATCATCATACCCACATCGATAAATACATAGTACCAATATCTACCATTTATACCAAATATATCTACATTTATACCAATATTCCTGTTGCTATAGATACCAACAAACACTGATATCTTGTCTATAAATACACGTCTCATGAACCAATTCAAGTCTCGAGTATGAATTGTTAGTCCACCCTTAAAAAGATGTCATGACAGACTGAGTTCAAAGAGTGGGAAAGAACACTGCCGCTGCCTGGGCAAAACGTACTGTGAACCAATCGACCACAAAAAACTGAAATCTTGTGTATAAACTGTCAGTACATCTAAAAAGATGCGATGACAAATTGATCTCAAATAAGATGGGGAAATACAAATTGCTGCTGCCTGGGCAAAATTCCCCACTTGTCATAGAAATTTGCTTACAATGTCAGTCTCGAAATGGGATAATAAACGTATTATGAAGAATTATTCCAGTATAGCCAACATGCGCCGATAATCAACTTATTGAGAATCTAATAGAGTCCTATATCTTTTTCTACACCCATTTTAAATATGACAGTCTACAACTTAAGTCTACGAGTCATTTTCTTTTCTTTTAAAGATACATTATGTAAGAGTTAAAGCGGTGTATTACAGATTTTTCTTTTGTCTTTAAATATTATATAAACTTTCAGTTAGATATTTATTCACTCGACATGTCTAATATCAACTCTCTAGATTATCAACTATTGAGATTTAAAATAATCGGGACTTGTCTCAGTGATTAAATATCATTCAAACAGTCATATCTTTGCCCAGATATGTTCAATATATTCATTTTCCATTATCTATCTTTAAACTATTACAGCTCTTTACCTAAATATTACATAATGTATCTTTAATAAATTAATACACAGTTTTAAAACTTACCATCTGATTTAAAGTAAGATTCTTATTTTAACGGATTGACAATCTCTTAAGAATTCAGTATTTTAAATTTAGGAATATTGGCAATTTTGAAAATGTAGTAATAAATGTCTATAAAAAAAATAATAATTCTTGAAGATGATTTATTTAGAAGGATTATCATTTAATATTGGTAAACAACAATATGATACCTTTCCATGGGAGTTTAACTCGACACAAACTAGGTCATTTTGGGTATAACATATGGTTCAATTTTATTTCAATACTAGGGGGGTCTTTAGCAATGGGAGAAAACCGGAGGACCGTGAGAAAACCCACACTGTTGGACAGGTGACCCTATTTATTGTCACGAACAAGCGGGGATTCAAAACATCACCACTTAATGACAGACCCTTGTGATTTCACGCGCACAAACCGCTAGACCATCCAATTCCCTTGTCAGTTGAGTGATGTTTAATCTCTTGCAAACTAAATATAATCAAAGTTGAAAAATAGTTGAATTCCTTTCAGTCTTTACAAAGATATGTGGAATTGAAACTTCTGTCAACATTTGGCTTCATCTGCAACAACACAGAAACCACAGTGGTTTAGTGAGTAACAGGTTGGCTCGATAACATGGAGGTCCCGTGTTCGATCCCAGCGTTGGGGTTCATTAGGGTTATCCAGCACGGTTCCTTCACGGGCCTGGCAAGGAACAATGTAGTCATTAGGACGGGATGAAAAAAAAACAAGGTCCTGTGTACACATTGGTGTGCACGATAAAGATCCCTTGGAATTCAATATAAGACAGCGCCATCTGTGTGTGTCAGGGCAATGTTTTGATAGGCCTCTTCTTCATTCGACTGGATCCAAGTCAGGATATTATCTACCATTGATTTTCTCATTTTATTTACTTCATTAAAATATTTTCGGAATCAATTGGAGTACAAAACGAAATGGGGTTTAACGTCCTATTGTTCTGCTCCGAACTGGGCTAATGAAGACGGGCATACGCCATAAAGTGTGCTTTGAGGGAAATTTTGCCTGGACAGCGGCGCTACGGCCTACTCTTATATCGAATTCCAACTGTCAAGGGATCTTTTACGTGCACGCCAATGTGTACACGGGAACTCGTTTTTTTTGTCCCATCTGAATGACTAGACAGCTTTCCTTGTCAGGCCCTCCGTCCTGCATCACTGACAAGGGGGAACCACGCCGGAAAATCTAGATGAACTTTCTCGGCCAATGCAGGGATCGAACACCCGACCTCCAGGCTAGCGAGCCAGCATCTGGTTGAACTTTCTCGGCCAATGCAGGGATCAATTTGAGTACAAGGGAAACTAATATTTATATTTGAAAATATCAAACTGTTTAGATTTACCTGTATGGTATACTTAACCCAACAAAAAATATCACATTGTTGTGTAGCACAATACTATTTTGGTAGATACAGTAATCCATACGATTTAACCTAAAGTGATTCTAAGTGTTTTTTCATACAGGTATTTGTAAGATAAAGGAACAATAGTAACGATATGCCTCATCACTCTACCTAAAAACACAAACTTTAAGAGAACATAATATATATATGGTACCATTCTATATGGTTTTAATGATCCACAGTCAGACCTTAAATATATTCATAATGTACGAGGGCGTTAAACTGAGTGTCGTATCAATATATTACACAATTCCTTGCTCAAACTATTAAACACCTTAAAATACAGACACAAATCCACCCTTGCATTTGAATATTTCAACTTATACACTATACGGACGTGCATTTCATAAAATTCGTACAATATTTCAAATAGAATAAATAATGTACAACTGGCACGTTCATATAATGGTACGATTCGATAATAATATATTGTATCATTGTATCTAATTAAAATAATAATCTCGGTTGTAACGATAGTTTAAACCTATTTTATTGCATCAACATTTCAATGTACAAAAGGATAGTTTATAAAGATAAAAGTGTTAGAGTTAGTTCAATGCATCTCAGACAAAGCAGGTTGACAATTCACATGAGTTACACATGGCAACCCTCACCCCCTCAATTACTGTTAAATGAATTTTTGTTTCTAGAAAATGATTCCCCCCCCACTCTCCTTACCCCAGTCAACCTGGTCCCCTCCTTCTTAATAAAGTTGATCTCCTCGGAAACTTCAGGTCACACTTGACATGATTATAAGTTGAAAGATAATTACGTTGTTATAGCTTTGATTCAAGAATTAATTTACTCCTGGTCCTGGTATCGTATATTCTATGTTTCAACATTTAATTTGTTGAATTCGGTTTAATAAAAATATTTTTTACCATCTTTTTAAGGTTTTTTTTTTTAAGTAAGACACAATCTGCATCCAATTTTTCATTGAAAAACCATGGCAGTGCCAACAAATGTCTTATTTACAGAGCTAGAAAATATGGTTTGTTAATCAATACTCACAAAAACACACAAAATAAAAAAAATTCAGATATTTCACATAAACATCTAATAAGTAAAACAAATATAATATGTTTGATGTTGAATTAAAATTAAGTTTAAACGGGGACTGGATTTACTGATATGTAATAACCACAGGTACATAAAACCACAGCTAATTATATACCCTCACAGGTATACTCACAGGTGAATGTAACCACATATGACTATATACAGACGTAGATATACTCACAGGTGTAGATATACTCAGGTAAATATATACCCACAGGTAAATTTAATCCCACAGGTAGATAAAACCACAGGTAAATATACTTACAGGTTCATATATACCAAAAGGTAGATATACTCACAGGTAGATTTACGCCACAGGTATGTAATAAATAAATTTATATACCTGCAGATCAATATACTTTTATGTGTAAAATAATATTTCGACAGTTCAGGTAAATATATTATTTTATGTACCGGTATATTTCTATAATCTCTATACTAGTCTTTGTCGTACAAGTCTCCATTCCATACTACGGGTAGTCTTTACCATACTAGTCCTTTACTGTATGCAAAAATCTTAATACTTTTTCATGCTTAAACCCTTTAACGCTGGGTACCTCTCTTTAAGAAAATGATCGGTTTTACATCGAGTTTTGGAGCTAATTTTCAAAATTGTCCTGATTACTTTTAACTAGACTATAACAATCTTAAATAATTCATCAGCTATTCAAGTCAGATAGTTGAAGATGTCCAAGAGAGCAGTGGTTACGAGGCATTCAAGGGCTCAAAGGACACGAAAATAACTGAAATTTCTCATCATGATCAAACCTGATTTCGTTTTCTCAGTTAAATTTTTTTTTTTTTTTAGGTTGATCTTCAGTAAATAAAGATTTTGTTTTAGCGGTTCCGAAGTGATTGGTTGAAAGAGTTGATGTGGATACGTTTAGCGGTTCAGAAGAGATTTGTTGAAAGAGTTGATGTTATTTGGTTAAAGTTTACCTGTATAACCACCCTTGATGTGACGTTTATTTAAAACTTCTGGTGAAGATCATGACAATTACTTAAATAAACAAAATGAAATTTAGGGTGGAATTTCAAACAAATTGGATATTAGTAAGCTTGGACATGACGTATCTGTCACAGATATTGTCAGACACGAATAATTACACGGTAAATATACCCACAGGTAAATATATACGCACAGGTACATACATGTATATACCCACAGGTACATATATACACACAGGTAAATATATACCCACAGGTAAATATATTCTCACAGGTAAATATAAAGGTTGTGTAATTATTTGTACCTGATAAAGTACCTGTTACAGGTGTGAAGTTTGATAGAGATTATACTGGTAGTAGGTTTATAAAACCGGGATGAGACGGGGAAGATTGTTAAAATATATAACAGTAAAATTAACGCAATCTCTTTCATTTACCTAAAAAATAAAATTGTCCATTCATTCTACTTTATGTATAGGTTTGTTTTGTGGGCTGATAATCTTACATTCATTGATAACAGTCAACCGAAAATGAAAGTAAAATTTAACACCCATTCCAAGAAAAAAACATGTCATTTCGGGACTAACATATGGTATTTTTACAATAATAATTTGTTAATTCATCAGCAGTGGGAGAAAACTGGAAAACCCGGGATAAAACCCACGAGAGTAGGCAGACAATCCTGATCAAATGCAGGGGTTTTTACAGTTCGCACAAACAATAGCAGTGTTGGGAGGAAGGTAGACAGAGTTAGCGTAAAGCCTCCATTACAGCAGACCATACCAGAACTAATTTGTTATAAAATGGTATGTTCACAGTTGTGCGTTTCGGATGTTGACAACAAAAATCGCCCCCAAAAAATAATTAATTTGACAATAATCCTTTTTTAAAAAATAATTAATTTGACAATAATCCTTTTTTAAAAAATATTTTAAATAGTCGTAGATTTTAAAATATTCATAATAATTATGATAACATAATATAATATGTACATCTTTGTTATAAATACTGACTTCTCAATTAGTGATTATCATCATAAATAAGAGTTATCTCCCTTCAACCAAACATCAAGGATTGATAGAATTTTGCCTCCCGGATAAAATCTTTTTTCATTTTAAAAAGTAAATTCAGGAACTCATTATACAAACAAACAGGAGAATAACTTTGTCACTTTCTACAGAATACAAATTATATTTTTGAGGTTATCCACTCACTATATTAAACTCATCAATTTGTTAAACACCATATAATTATCTTGTATTTGTCGTCTCTGATCGTCACGACGATAAGGTGAATTAAACATTTGTCATCGACTGCTGATGATATACACAGGTTTTCGATAAACTGTTAATAGCTCAGATTAAAAAAGGAAAAATTACATATCGTCCGAAAAATACAAAGACTTTAATTCGAATTCCTGTTATTCATGAATGAATAATTAAGCCAAATCGAAAGATGTACGTTATTTAAAACAGTTTTCTGATGATAAAAAAAACAAATCTACGAGAAATAAAGATGACATCACATACAAATCCATCAATAACTATAAAATATTTGACCCAATTTCTGTTCCAACCAGAACATGACAAAACAGGAGCTAAAAGTCAATCAAATTTAACAAAAAGCCTACGAAAAAAAAAAAAAGAAAAAAAAAGCACATAATTAAATAATACTTTAAAAATAATCTACGACGTTACTTTTAACGACAAAACTAAAATTGAATATTAATTATATATTAGGTAATTAATTTTTTTATGTCACATACACAACTTGAAGATAAATATACGACTGTTATATTTTCATACATGCATAAATGATTAAGGACTGTGGTCGATAGTCTGACTACCTGTTGAAATCAACTTAATCCGATATAAAATTAATCTTATTGCAGTTGTTCTGCAATTTTAGCTTCAAAAAAATATTTGGTAGCCGATTTCCACAGCCCCTTAGATGTATCGTTATTTTGACTTGCCGAGGGAAGAAGAAACGAATGATACTACAATTAAAAATAATAATAATCATCATCAATCGATCAACACAGGGTAAAACAATGTACGTTGAATCAAGGGGAGATCACTCGGAGTGTAATTTCACAATGCGTTGTGCTTCTCGATAACCGGTTAACAAAGCTCCGTGAGTCGTAGAATAAAAGGTTGGATGCGTCGCTTCTCCACCAAAAAGCACTTGCGGCTGAAATGATAAAAATAAAAGAATCTTTTATAAATAAAGTCTGAATCTATCCATTTTTTAAAAAAATAGAATGGTGGTGACATTATATAAAACACAAAACTATACTCCATATAATCTATTTTTCCGGGAGGAGGGGGTGGGGGGTGGATGGGGTAAATACGTGTATAATTGAATTTTATAGCATGAACTTTTTTTACATGCGGAACTATATTATTGGTATAGCGCAACATGCAAATAGTGTCCAAAACAAGAGTCAATTACACAGTTGACAGTAAGTTTGAATTTTATACCGGTGTCGTTTCCCCTTGTCGTGGCCTGACAAGAAAAGCTGTCTAGTCCTTTGGATGTGACAAAAAACGGGGGTCTGGTGTACACATTGGTGTGCAAATAAAATAAACTTAGACAGTTCAAATTCGATAGGCCGTAGCGCCACTGGGGGGCCAAATTTCCCCTCATAGCACACTGTACAGTGTTATGCCCATCTTCATTAACCCAGTCGGAGAGAGAGAAATGGGGTTTAACGTCCACTCTACACAAACTAGGTCATTTCGGGACTAACATATGGTTTAATTTTATTTCGATAATTCACTTGCGAGTAGGGGTCTTTAGCAGTGGGAGGAAAATCGGAGGACCCGGAGAAAACCGACGAGGTTGGACAGGCGACCCTACTCCTTGTCACGTACAACCGGGGATTCGAAACCACGCCAGTTGAGACAATGACAGGCTTTATGATCCAATGTGCACGCATTAACCATTCGTCTACACTTCTGCAAATTAGATTAGATTAGGTGGTAGCGATGTTTAACATCCTGCTTTCTGCAAGGGTGGAGGGGGGGAAGGATAGGAAATAAGCTAGATTTTAACGTTCTATTTTTCTTTAATGGGGACATGTAACGGTACTAAAATAGGGTTTAACATCCTATATGGCACGTGCTAACCATTCGGCCATCCAACCCCCCTAGCCCAGTCGGAGAAAAACAGGACATTCAACGTGGCTCAATGACCAGACGATCTTGGGTTTGATGATAGTGTTGGACGGAATTATGGCTACTAATATTGAGATTGCATAAGTATTGATTGGTGCCAATAACAGGGGTTATCTAGCAAGGGTTAGGGTCCAAGTAAGGAGTAAAAACCTATACATTTAAGCCTGTAATTAAGTGAAGTAATGTGGTTTTGATTCCCAGATTGTACAGGACAAGGGATGAGTAGCGTGGTCCGCCCTACTGACACATATAAAACAATAGTTCGACCTTGACGATGATAAAGCAATAATAGACTCCATACTGATTGGATCAATTCATCATCTAACACGAAGTAAAATTGATTTTAATCATTGATTGATGTCATTACTAGACACAGTCTGGTATATACATGTACCTACAGGTATATATAGGGCTATAAAGGTTATCTGAGTCCAGAACATACCGTGTAGAACTCTAGCTAAAGGTTATTGGAGCGAATAGTAATATTCTTTCATTCCTCAGGCACAATAGGTCATTCAGCTATTTCACCCATAATAACATATTTTTAGTTATGATATAATCATTTTAAAATGTGTCAGTTTTTATCTCACAGTAATATACTCATTTCATCAATTTGAATATTTTTCGTTTTTTTCTTTCATGTTACGTTTTTCGGGTTTCTTTAAAGATACATTATGGGAGATTAGATAAAGAGCTGATAGTTCTCAATATAAGTTATAGATAATAGTTAAAAACTAGATAATGTAAAGGCAATTTGCTGGAAATTTCAGTCAAATTGATCTACTCTGAACCAAGAATTTAGCGATTGAATTTTCGGCCTAGCCTCGATCATCATTACTAAAATCGGTACGTTAAAAAACAGTCTCGATTATCCATTTCATGATTAAATTATGAATGGAAGTCGAGCAGCAAATGGTACCCTAATCCAGTAAATATCGCAGGCTAGCGATGCCATCGAGAGTTGATTATGGTCTGGATAAGTTAGGCAGATTTAGTTCTTGTATAATGTATGCTTAATAAATATACAGTGCCATATGTATATATAAATACCACTTGTATAGTGTATGCATGACCTAGATGTTCCAGCTGTTACATTATAACACCTACACTGATTCTAAATCATTGTATAATCGTTCTATATCTCATCAAACCATTACAACAAAATTTGGTCTAATTTTCTACTGTCCTACTCCGACTGGCATACACCATACAGTATGCTATGAGGATAATTTCACACAAACAGCTGGCGCTACGGCCTACTCTTATATCGAATTCTAAGTGCCAAGGTTCTTTAAAAGGGACGCCAATGTATACACCAGTCCTCAGTTTCCTGTCCCATCCGAACGACTAGACAGCTGTCCTGGTCCGGCCCTCCATCCTGCACAACCAACAAGGGGAACCACACTTTTCTAAAATGTGGTTTAATAATATTAAAACTTTGTCACATGAACAACAAGGGGACATAATTTGGCATGATAGTTGAATATTGGAAGAAAACAGACGACAAATAAAATCTGTACCAATGAACACGGGTATTTACCTCACGATACAATATGTATCACGGTATGGACGTCACAATACGATACATATCACAGTATTTTGCTAAATTTACTTAAAACTAAAAACAAGTACATGATATTTAATGGCAACACATCACATTATTAAACAAGGCTTTTCCATCTGACATTTTTAATCCAAAATGTTCCCATATTTGTAATGTGTGGTTCGCTGTAGGTGAATGTTTCATCGCCGGAACCATCTTTCCTCCTTGTCACATGAACAACTGGTGGACCTAATTTTGCATGAATATCAGAAGAATACGGACAGCTAATAAAACCTGTACCGTGTTTACAGAACCGCAGTATGGAATTGATATGACATTTTTTTTTTTCTCTGCTATTATGAATATTGTAACAGTGCATCATTACAGCTAATTTATCTGGATGTTGGCGTTCTATAAATGTCCATTATTATTATTACCTGAGTTAAACCATAGTATGGAATTTAAAAGACTCTGAACCAAACTATGGCATGTACATGTATATATACTGTAGTATATACCGTCCACGGTATATCGATGCAGCCCTAGCACGAGACGCCACCCGAAGGATTAGGAAGGCAGTCCTTGTTAACCAGGGGTTTATAATATATATTGGTGTCTGTACTAAAGATGGTGTTACTTTATAAACATTATATACCTTGTTTAATATAACACCCATATATTATATACTGATCAATATGGTAGAATCAATATATAATATATACACCATCATATAACATATCATATCATATATACCATGTTAAAGTACCCATTTCCATATATATATGTTCTTGTTAAACAAACTTGGTCAAAATTTAAATGGTTTTAAAATATATACCACACAGTGAATCTTAAAAATTATATTTCTTAAATATGATGTTTGAAAACTCAAACTCTTAAATTGGTAATAAAAATAACGTTTTAAAGGAGGCAAGTCTTCAACTCAATATCATCCACAATCTTTGAGATAGAAAACACAAATTATTGGTCAATTTAAATCAACATTGATGTGGTTATTTTACCGCGAAAAGTTGATATCTAATATTTATGATAAAATGAAAGTTTTAAAATGAGCACACGAAACTTGCGCCAGAATGATTTTGAGTGCTGTTTGTAATGAAGCGACGCTTTGCGTATTTCACCAAACACAAAAACTGATTAGAAATTAGAGTAAAAATAGAAATGATTGAATGTAAATCAGTTGGTTACATTCATAATACGTATATATGTGTAGCAACCCATTTGTGTTGATGTTTTAGGTGCCAAAGAATAGCTATTTAGCTCCAGAGACAAACAATAGGTAATATTTAAAGAATATTGCAAATACGTGAATCTGTGAAAAATAATAATATAGAATTAATACACAGGTTGAAGGAGTTATTGTGGATTGTGTAGCCTATTCATATTGCCAGGTTTAAACAATACACTGTACACAGTATCATATTCTTTTATACTTATAATAACCATCCAACGTCTCTTATCACAGTCCTAGTGACATTTACAAAATAGGACGTTTTTTTATATTCTTCAGTAATGTTCTAGGGGGAGTACAAAAAAACATATTGTATGTTACATCTGAAGAATATTAACGACTTGATTTAGGTTGAAATATCGTATTTAATTGGTATGATTGGATGTTATTTTGGTTCACAGGAGGCAAGCTACATTTGTATATACATGTAGGTTAAAGTTTTGTTTGGAAAGATTAAATGAATGAAATGGGGTTTAGCATCCCACTGTTCGGCAGCTACTGGGTTAATGAAAATGGGTATACGCCCCGTTCCCAGGGGGCTAATTGTTTTTGAAAGTCTGAATGAAAGTCAACTTGTTTACTAATTTCAAGTCTATCATACATTTATGTGTAGAGAGAGAGATGGGGTTGACACAATCTATAGGTAATTTCGGGACTAACATATGCCCCCCCCCCCCCCGCTCCCTGTAGACAATGGAATGCAGAATTTGATATAACTTTTAAACAACAGCTTTATCTATAGGGTAGTTGAAAACTTTCAACGAAGACCAATCAACATATATATTCTATATACCTTATAGACCCTGACCCAGAACAAAGAGATCTACAAGTCAATCAATTGGTGATGTAAAATCAATAAAAACATTTTATTGTTTCATATATAGGTCAATCTAACAGTACATATATATATACGTGTTACTAGGTCACTTCGGGACTAACATGGTTCAATTTAATACCAATAAATAGAGATTATTAGGAGTGGAGCGTCGGATAGCCAAGATTTAAACGCCAGCGAGATTTAACAATTTAACAATACAATGGATAACCAAGACTTGTACTACTTATGCACCATGAGCACGTTTTGTGGATATAGCGCTTTATAAATGGATATATTATTATTCTTTTTATGATAATAAACGATCTTCAAACACACAAAACTTCACCCAGAATAAAGTAATTTGAATGCAAGTTTATCTTTATTTTTCATTATCTATTTTTGAAC